AAAAAAGTTATGAAGTAAATAAATATATTAACAGTATATATAATTATTAAATCAAAGTCTATATTGTCAATATTATCATTTAAAAAGTTAATGGCAGATTATTGTATAATATAGAAATATCAAGCATAATTAATATTCAACAAAAAAAAAGTCAAATCTATATGAAAAAATAAAAATTAAAAACACAACAAATTATGTGGAACATTATTGGACACTATACAATATAGAAAGAAATATAATTTGATTTCCCTATCATTATCAACACATTCAACTTTTACCAAGACATCTGCCTTTATATTAAAATCAATTTTTTGCGTAAAATTTTCAAAAATAAAAATTCCTACACTTTTAAACATTAAACAAGAAATTCCTAATATGCGATAAATATATGTAAACAGATTTGTTATAAACTTACCTAATATTTCTAAATTTTGAACAAAATACTAAAAACTTTGAAAAACTTCGGCAAAAGAATTTGAACAACTTCGAAAAGCGATTTTGAACAAGTGTTATCAAAGCTTCACTTACTGATATGATGAGAAAGACGAGAAAGAATTGAACTATTTAGTGTTCAGAATCTGAACAAAATACATAAAATGTTACGTATGTTATAAACATATATGAACATATATGTTATAAACTTACCTATATATTTGTTAGTAGAGCTGAACAGATCTGTTAGAAACTTACCTATTTTTCAAACCCTGAACAAAATACATAAAAGTTTTAAAATGTTCGACCAATGTCATGTTCTCTTCAAAAAATAATTTTGAAAAACATCTAGATAATTTCGAATTATGTATAAAATATGATATATCTTTGAAGTTTATTCAAAAAGAATTTTGAAAAACGACACAGATCATTGAAAATAATAAAAAATAAAAACTATGTTTAACAAAAAATATTTCAGCTCATCATAGATTTGTAATATTATCGCTCGATTTTGACCGACCTGTTAAGATTTAGCAACAAAGTTTAAGAAATCGGGATGAATATTTATTTTTCGATCACTACTGTTGGCCACAAAAACAACATTTCTCGGATTTTTTTTAATTTATTTTTTAAGCCTTTACTGGGAGAAAATATCCGGTAAAACATTTATTTTGTATTGAATCTCGTCGAGTTTGTCGTAAGGTCGGGTTAAGGATTAGAGTTTCAGACAGAGTGAATAACGAAAGAACCGCCGACATCAAACAAAAAAATTGGCTTACATCACTCAAGGAGTTTATCACTATTTATAGTCATGTTATCATTGACCTGTTTTATATTTGATTTTGGCTACCCTAAAAAATTAAGTGGATTTCTAATTTGGGCTTTTTTTTTATCATTCAACCGCCCAAAAATTGTCATTTTGTTCAAATGTCTTAAATATTGGGCACATATCATTATTTATCAACCAAATACAATTATTTATTTTGTAATATTTTGTTGGTATTTTTATAGTATTTTTTTTTTAAATTTCCTATATGATCTATAATACAAAATGCAATAATATTTTAAAAAATAAAACCATTATATGTCTTAATTTGAAGATAGTGATTTGTAGTGATGGAGATTCAATTGATAGAAAAATCACAAACGTTGTATATAAAGAATTGTTTAACAATATTTAGTTATTATTTTTTAGAACAATTTTCCAATAATTATATTATGATTTTTACTATTGTTTATATCTTTTTATTTTTTTTTGTTCTATTATAATGCTTTCCGTGCAAATGCACGGGTTAAAAACTAGTTTAATTAATTATGAGTGCTCAATTCTGAGAGTTTCAGTAAAGTGAGAAGAGTGCTTGTGAGATTGTGAAAGTAGTAAATTTGTAATAAAATATCTTTTATAATAAAATCAATTTGGTGTATTGTTTAGTTTTATTTTCAACACGTGGTATCAGAGCCACGTCTGGAAAGTTCAAGCTCGTGCCTATTTATTCAGGGCTCATCACTATCCGTTAACTAGGGGGAGATTATTGAGTTCAAAGGCATCGTGCACAATTAAAAGAAATTATGAAGTGTGTGAGGCTTGCTTGGTTACGAGGAGGTAGTCCAAGTCACGATGGCGGATCTACAATCAGTAGGCGGAATGGAGAAACTCAATAATCAAAATTACACCACATGGAGGACATGCATGGAGTCGTATCTCCAAGGCCAAGATCTATGAGAAATTGTTGGCGGAGAAGAAGTCATACCACCCGAAGAGGCTGGGGCATTACGTAAATGGAAGATAAAGGTGGGAAAGGCCATGTACGCACTCAAGGCGACTATTGACAAAGAGCTGTTGGAGCACATACGGGATGCAAACACTCTAAAACAAGCGTGGGACACTCTTGGAGCATTATTTTCCAAAAAGAATGAGTTCAAGCTGCAACTTCTTGATAATGAGCTCCTATCACTCAAACAAGGGGAGATGACGGTACGCGACTACTTTAACAAGGTACGAACTCTTTGTCGTGAAATCTCTGAATTGAACCCCACTGATAATGTTTCAGAAGCTAAGATTAGAAGAATTATCATTCATGGCTTAAGACCCGAATTTAGGGGGATCATAGCTGCTGTACAAGGTTGGTCTGAGCAGCCTTCTTTGGTAAATCTTGAAAATATACTAGCCGACCAAGAAGCGCTGACCAGACAAATGGCGGAAGTCTCATTAAAGAAAGAAGATGAAGCTTTATTTAGTTATAAAAAGAATATGTGACCACGCCAACAAAATAAAAGAGACAAAAAAGAATATATTAAAAAGGAAGGAAGAAGCTCTGAAACAAAAGGGGTCCAACAAGATCGTTATAAGAAATATCAGACGTCTAAGGGGAATAAAAAGGGCTCGTGCTATGTATGTGGCAAGTCGAATCACTATGCCAGAGACTGTTGGCATAGGAAAAAGGCTGCTGAAGGGAATATAGCAACGTCCAACAACCAGGAGACTAACAACAGTGAAGAAGAGTGGGACATAAAAGCATCTATGGCGATAATTGAGGAGATCGTCCCTATTATATCAAAGGAGGCCTGTAAAGAAGAGCAATCAAGTCTAAATGAAGAGACGGCATTGACTGTCGTTGTACCTGGACGAATAGATGATGAGAATGATTGGATCGTGGACTCGGGATGCTCCAATCATATGACAAGAGATAAAGAAAAGTTGCAGAACACAACTGAATACAACAGAGGTCGGATAGTCATCACTGCTAACAATTCAAGGTTGCCAATAGCCCATATTGGCAAGACAGTCATCACTCCACGGTTTAGTCATGGTCAAGTGCAACTGTAGGATGTCTACCATGTCCCAGGTATGAAGAAAAATCTTCTATCAGTATCACAACTGACAACTTCAGGAAATTATGTTATTTTTGGACCCAATAACGTCAAGGTGTACGAAATCCCAAAATTATCGGCACACATCATGGAGGGTTGAAAGCCTGAGTCCATCTACATAATGTCAACAGAGTCTGCTTATGTAGATAAGACTCGGAAAAATGAAATGGCCAATTTATGGCATGCGAGGCTGGGACATGTGACCTATCATAAGCTTAAGGTGATGATGAAGAAATCAATGTTGAAGGGCCTCCCTCAACTGGAAATAAGAGATAACACAATATGTGATGGCTGTCAATATGGTAAAGCACATCAACTATCATATGAAGATTCAAGCTACAGAGCAAAAAAGCCTCTAGAGACAATTTACTCTGACATATTCGGGCCAGTTAAACAACCTTCGATCAGCGATGTGTGCTATATGGTGACATTTATCGACGACTTCTCAATGTACGTTTGGGTATTCTTTATTAAAGAAAAATTAGAAGCATTCACAAAGTCTAAAAATTTCAAAGAATCTGTTGAAAGAGAAGTCGGAGATAAGATCCAGTGCCTTCGCATGGATAACAGGGAAGAATACACATCAATAGAATTCTCCCGATTTCTGAAGAAGCATAAGATACACCATCAGCTGACGTGTCCAAACACACCTCAGCAAAATGGCATAGCAGAAAGGAAAAATCAACACTGGCAGAAACGTGTCGAAGCATGATATATGCAAAGAGCGTACCAGCAAGGTTCTGGGATGAATGTATGAAGACGGCGGCCCACGTGATACATCGGCTACCACAAGCAAAGTTGGGATTCATGTCACCATTCGAAAAGCTATGGAAAATCAAACCAACTGTTAGCCACTTCAGAGTCTTCGGATGCGTCTGTTATGTGTTCGTACCAAGTCACTTATGGAGCAAATTTGACAAGAAGCAATCAGATGCATATTCTTGGGATATGACAACCAAAGAAAAGGGTGGAGATGCTGCGATCCATCAACCGGTCGGTGTTACACATCATGCAACGTGATTTTTAATGAAGCATCTTCTTGGTGGACACCGCAGAAGTCGGAGCTACCAAATTCAAAAGAAATCGAGGATAAACTCCAGAAATGGGTGAAACTTCCAGAAGCAACTCAAAGAATGGAAGAATCAGACGAGGAAGGGGAGTCACCAAGAACAACTCAATGTTTTTGACAGACCGATGTATATGAAGTAACTCCAGAAGTAATGAGGTCAACTGAACTCGAGGAGATTGAGCCACCAGCAGAGAAAGGAGGCGAAGTACCGGCAAGAACACAACTATTACGAAGATCTTTCAGACAAAAGAGGCCAAATCCCAGGAACGCCAATATAGCCTTAGAAGAAGATACAAGTATAAAGGAGCCACAAATATTTGAGGAAGCAATTAAACATAAAGAATGGATAAAACCAATGAATGAGGAGATAATGGCTCTAAGGCAAAATGAAACATGGGACTTAGTACCCTAACCAGGTGAAGTTAAACCCATATTTTGTAAATGGGCCTATAAAATAAAAAGGCAGCCTGACAGATCAACTGAAAGATATAAAGCTCGTCTTGTTGTACGAGAATTCTCACAGCAGTACGGGCTAGACTACGACGAGACATTTAGTCCGGTGGAAAAATTTACAACAGTTTGAGTACATATTGCACTGGCAGCAAGCAAGTCCTGAAAATTATGGCAGATGGACGTGAAGAATGCATTTCTACATGGAGAGCTCGACAGAGAAATATACATGGTCCAACCTGCAGGGTTCGAGGATAGGGAGAATCCAGGCTACGTGTGCAAACTAAAGAAGGCTCTATATGGGTTAAAGCAAGCGCTACAAGCATGGTACGGTAAGATCGCTGAATTCTTGATTCAGTGTGGATATTCTGTTGCACCAGCAGACTCGAACCTCTTTATCAAGAAACGAGAAAGAAAACTAGCAATAATGCTAGTATATGTTGATGATATCATCATCACTGGAGATGATGAAGAAGAAATACAACAAACAAGAAAGAATTTATTGGTGAGATTCCAAATGGAAGAACTTGGAGAATTTAAGCACTTTTTGGGGCTTAAGCTAAAAGAAAAAAACGACGGTCTTTTATTGTGTCAGTCACAATATGCTAAAGATTTATTGAAGAAATTCAGCATGACTGAGTACAAGCCTTTATCAACTCCAGTTGAAGCAAACGCCAAGATATGTGCTCAAGATGAAAAAGACTTGGAGGATGCAACTATGTACAGGCAGCTGGTTGGAAGCCTAATCTACCTAACCCTAACACGGCCAGGCATTTCATATGCAGTGGGATTGCGAATCGATTCATGGAGAAACCAAAGAAGCCACACCTCGAGTTAGTCCGACGCATACTAAGGTATGTAAAAGGATTAATCGATTATGGACTATTTTATCAAAGGAATAAAGATTCCAAAATTATTGGCTATTGCGATGCGGACTATGCCGGATGTCGTGATACGAGAAGGTCCACTACTGGGTATGTGTTCAAGTTTGGGTCGACTGCAATATCACGGTGTAGCAAAAGACAATCGACAGTGTCCCTTTCAACAGCAGAGGCCGAGTATCGAGCAGCGGTAATGGCGGCACAAAAAAACAAATGGCTTATGCAACTATTAAAAGATCTACATCAGCCATTTAGCTATGCAGTACAACTATATTGTGATAACCAATCCACTATATGCATAGCAGAGAATCCCGTATGCCACGCGAGAACAAAATATGTCGAAGTTCACTATCACTTCGTTAGAGAAAAAGTGCTCAAAGGGGAGATAAAGATTGAGCTTGTTGTTATTGAAGACCAAATAGCCGACGTGTTCACTAAAGGGCTCAATTCTTTAAAATTTGAAGATTTTCGAACACGCCTTGGAATGATTCGAGAAGAAAACATGACTCGAGAAAATGTCGATGTTGAGGGGGAGTGTTAAAATAAAGCAAATAAAACAACACCGACATATAGGAAACTTCATGAAACAAATTAATTAAGCAAATTAGAATTGCCTAGAAACTTTAAGTCGGTTTATCCACCGACATTAACAACTATAAATATATGTAGGCTAAGTGTTAGAAATCAATTGAGTGGAGAGTACTTATTGAGTTTAATTAATTATGAGTGCTCAATTCTGAGAGTTTCAGTAAAGTAAGAAGAGTGTTTGTGAGATTGTGAGAGTAGTAAATTTGTAATAAAATATCTTTTATAATAAAATCAATTTGGTGTATTATTCAGTTTTATTTCCAACACCTTTTTCGTATTTAGCTCAGAATTGAAGCTGGTAATGACGAAAACTGCATTTGGCAATCGTTGTTATATACCTATTAGATTAGCTTTTTTGTTGAAATCAAATCAGTTGAGCGAGTAAAGAATAATAACGGGGCCAAGGAAATTTATGTAGGAACATTATTGAATAATCCAAACTATTTCTATGGTCGAACTTATATGTTTCCTCATGTTCACAGTCGTACTCCACGAATCAGATACTCGTGCATTTTGCACTCTCGATTTCAGTATTTAGTTTATTTTTCGCACATTTTTCCAATGATGTACATACTTCAAATATCATGTCTACTTAAACGAATCAGATACTCGCGCATTTTGCGCTCTCGGTTTCAGTATTTAGTTCATTTTGGCTTATTTTCCCGACAGGAACTCACTGAGGACCAGAAGAACTGGAAATGCTCGACGACAAACTGAAAGTAAACTGGGAAAGTTATAATATAAATCAATCTTACGAGAACTCGCAGCAAGGAGGAGTGTTTTCTTCTTCAGGAACTGCTATTATGTGGTCACATAATCAAAGAAGAACGGCGCTTATTATCTGGAGAACTGCAAAAAAACTTGTAATTGGGTTTAAAAGCCTCATAATAGTAGAGGAGTAGTCTCTGCTGCTAAGTTTTGTATGTGTGTGTGTTGGTATCAAAATAATTTGTGATTATAATTGAAAAAAAAATAATAGTAAAGAAAATATATTTATATATATATATGTGTGTGTGTGTGTGTGTGTGTGTGTGTGTGTGTGTGTGTGTATGTGTGTGTGTGTGTGTGTGAAGAAATAAAGTGAAAGACTTGTTTTCTTAAGATCAATTTCACTTCTTCTTCTTGCATTTCTTCCTTCCGAACACATGAATATATATAGCATACAACGGAAATCTCTAGACTCCCATCATTAGAATTACCAACTAATGACAACTAATACAACAAATAATTGATCATTATTACAATCAATAATTGATTCTAGAATGATCATTAATTTTTAACACTCCCCCTTAATGATCATTCTTATAATTCCAAGTTTTTCATGTAAAGTCTCGAATCTTGGTCGCGGTAAAGCTTTTGTGAAAATATCTGCAAGTTGATATTCAGTGGCGACATACTTGAGCTTTATCTGCTTGTCATTAGTTGCTTATCGTAGAAAAAGATATTTGATAGCAATGTGTTTGGTCCTGCTGTGATGTACTGGATTTTTCGCCATTGCTATCGCTGACTTGTTATCGCAGTATATCTCTGTTGGACTTTCTTGGTGTTCACCCATGTATCCAAGAATACGCCTAAGCCAAATAGCCTGACTTGTCGTTAGTGCTGCTGCGACATACTCGGCTTCTTCTGATGATTGCGCCACACAATCTTGTATGACCACGAGAATATGCCTGAGCCAAGTGAAAATGTGTAGCCTGAGGTGCTTTTCATGTCATCAGTTGATCCAGCCCAATCACTGTCTGTGTAGCCGACCAGTCTTGAATCTTCTTTATATTCATATTGGATTCCGTAGTCTTTAGTGCCCTGCAAATATCGCAGTATTCTCTTCGCGGCTCCATAGTGAACTTGGCTCGGACTTTGCATGAACCTTGACAGTAGACTTGTTGCGTACATGATATCTGGTCTTGTGGTCGTTAGATATAGCAGACTTCCAATCAGACTTCGGTATGTGGATGCTTCTGCATTTGGTGTACCATCTTCTTTGGTAAATTTCTCATTCGCAACCATGTGAGTAGCCACGGGTTTACAGTCGTCCATCTTGAATCTTTTTAGAAGATTATCTGTGTATTTCCTTTGTGAGATAAATATCTCATTTTCTTCTTGATTTACCTCAATGCCGAGAAAATAGCTCATTTTCCCAAGGTCTGTCATCTCAAAGGTCTTCATCATATCTTCTTTGAACTCCTTAATCATCTCCTCATTGTTCCCTGTATAAATAATATCATCTACATAAAGAGAAACAATGAGTTTGTTGTCGTTACCTTGGGTCTTGATGTAGAGTGTTGGCTCAATTTCGCTTCTTTTGAATCCATGACTGGTGAAATAGTCATCAATTCGGCTATACCAAGCTCGTGGGGCTTGTTTCAATCCGTAAAGTGCCTTCTTTAGCTTTAGGATTTTTATTTTCTTTTCCTTCTACCACGAACTCTTGAGGTTGTTCGACATAGATTTCCTCTTCCAGATAGCCATTGAGAAATGCTGACTTGACATCAAACTGGTAGATTCTCCATTTTTTCTGAGCTGCAAGTGCGATTAGAACTCTTATGGTGTCTAGCCGAGCAACTGGAGCGAAGGTCTCGTTGTAGTCGATTCCGGGAAGTTGTGAGTACCCTTTAGCAACCAGCCGTGCTTTATGTTTTGGATTGAACCATCTGGGTTAAGTTTCTTCTTGTAAACCCACTTAACTCCAATGACTTCCTTGTTGTTTGGTGGATCGACCAACTCCCAAGTTTTATTCTTTTCTATCATCCTGATTTCTTCCTCCATGGTTTTTACCCATTCTTTTTCCTTTACTGCTGCTTCAAAGCTTTCAGGTTCCATCGTGGCAAAATTGCATGTCTCGTAGATCTCCCTAAGTGTTCGTACTTTTCTCGGTGGTGATTCTGGGGATGACTGTTCATCGCTTGATGGTGATGTTGCCCTCGGACTCGAAGGTTGTGGAGCTGGAGGTGATTGTGTACCTTCTACTTCATGTTCTCCTGGTATGATATTTTGCCTCCACCGTGTAGGTACCATGATATTTTGGTATTCGACTTTTTCTTTCTCCCAGTTCCATGCAGCATTTTCATCGAACTCGACATCTCGATTGATAATTAGTTTACTAGTCT